TCCTTAAATGATACAATGGTTCTCATCTAAATAACACCACCCTTCATTAATCTTCAACAGGAGCATAATGCTAAAGGAAACTCACCGTGCTCAATGGCGTTCACACGACGGTTGGTGAGCTTCACAACATTGTCAAGCGTGACGAAGGAGGCTTGCAGAGATGCCAGATCCACAAGCAGTTCAATGGCTCTCTTGTAGTTGATCTTGAGCTTGGCCATCTGCTGGCCACCTCGAGAGAGACCTGTAAGCTCGTACTGGTCTACTCCATCCTCGAAACTCTCAAACACCGGGAGGTTGGTACCTTTAATAAGTGAGAATCTTGTTAGAATTTTTTTTATTTCAACTTCTGATAAGCAAGGATAGTAATATACTTTTAATAATCTGATGTTTGCAAACAAACACTTCCTTACAGGTCCTGAAAAATTTCTATATACATACATTGTTCCTGCTTTTTTCCAGTACAATAAACAATTGCAACATAACAATATCAGAGACACTGCATGATATGATAGGGAGGTTTTGTGTATAGATAAACTGAGCGTTCTACTTAATGTGGAGGTAAGTACTGCAACATACAGAATACATTAAATGATAATAATAATGATAATTAGTAATGAATAAATTAATTTTATAACAGTCACATTACATATTCATAATATATATGTAATACTGAATCATAAAATCAAAGGTAAAAATTATGAAATTTCACAGCTACAATCATTATTGCTTTCTCCCTTACTGTTTAATGCTATGAATATTCTAAACAGCAGCTTTAACCCACTTAACACATTAACCCTTAACCACCGGGTGGTATGTGTATACACTAATCCCATTTTCCGGGGGCGTGTATGGTCATGTCACACAAGCCCCCGGTGGCAGGGCCCAGACCACAACCTGGGAGAGAGAGCTTGCATAGCAGGAATTCACCCATCGGTATTGGGTTAAAAAGCATAATGTTTTGGAAGTATACATCAGACTAAAGACAACTTATTTCTACTCCATAAAAACTAGTAACAGCTGCTAAGGATGCACTTTTTTTCTTTTCAGATTTATTTGCAGCTACACTGGTGAACACCTATCCTTGATAACATCTTATATAAATACTTCACAATTCTAATGTTTCATAGATTCCATAGCCCTTACAGTTCATTTATGAAGATATAAATAAAATAATTACTGTGCATATTCTTATTTCTTCTTAAACCCTTTTCCAAACTACTTCTAACTTTAAAAAAACATTAAACTCAGAAAAAAAATAACAATATACAATATTAACTGTAATACAAAATACAGTATATTATACTATGCTGAATATGCTGGCACTGAAATCAAACTGATTCTTAAAAAACTATTTCAATACAGCAAACAATTTTTTTTTTTAAAGGATCTCTTAAGAAATTAAATAAGAATGAAAAATTAATGGATACTGAAATAATACTGAACAATAAGCAGATGATATAATCTAAAGTGATATTCAATACCACTGATTATCATAAAATTATTACATCACTTTGTTCATTTTCTCACTTAGCAATTAGTCTTCTGTCATTACATAACTAGATAAATTCAAATTCTTTTAATTCTCTTAACTTCCTTCACAAAAGTCCTTTATCACAAAAAAGCTCTTTTGCATTTGAAAAAAAAAAAAAAAAAAAAGAGCCAAGTAAGGTAACTTAACCCTCAAAGTCTGAGGACACCCATCTGCTACACTTAGCACTGAGCCATTGAACACACACAAATCAACAGAAAGAACATGTGCAATAAAAATAATGATAATAATGATAAAAAAAAATCATAATATGACACCATTGCCCTGATAGAATAGATTAATTTGAATTATTTATGAAAGGGCAAGATCACACAAAGGGGAAAGAAATTATCTCTATGAAAAAAAAACATTAAAACAAAAAAATATTATTGGTGTATAAATAATGCTCACCTGCCAGGGTGTCAATATTCATGACTTAACATAATTAATAACTAATGCAGAAACAAAATAATAATAAATAATAATAATAACAATACTAAAAATGTTTGTTATAATAATAATAATAATAATAATAATAATAATAGTAATAGTAATAGTAATAGTAATAGTAATAATAATAATAATAATAATAATAATAATAGTAACAGTAATAGTAATAATAATAATAATAATAATAATAATAATAATAATAATAATAATAATAATAATAATAATAATAGTAACAGTAATAGTCATAGCAGTAGTAATAGTCATAGTAACAACCATGAAAAAAAATAATAATAAAATAATAGTAATAATAATAATAATAATAACAATAATAATAATAATAATAATAATAATAATAATAATAATAATAATAATAATAATCTCTCACTTGCAAAGAATGCTCAAGTTCATGCAGAAGCAAAAAAAACAAAAAAACAAAAAAACAAAAAAACTGAAAACAAGCGAGAGATTTCTCACCTGCGACATTGTCCATCTTGCTCCTGATCTTGATGCGAGCCTTGGTCA